GGTGGCAGTCCATGCTCACATGGACTGTTAAGAGACAAGCAAAACAGATACCTCTTTCTTTCAAGAATGTGATCTTGTCGGTGTGAAGTTTCTTTCTAAACCAAGAACAGCTCTCCAGTAGAGGTTCTCCTGAGCAAAACAGACAGAATGGGTTATGTTGTACAAGTGACACGCTATTCCTCTGTTTGGGAGAAGTGTGGATAATAGGGGTGAAAAGGTATACCGTATTTCGTATACCACCGTGTTGTAAAGCCAGGTGGTGACACCGCGAGATTTCCAAGCTCACGGTGACGGTAATTAATTAATTATTTTAATTTTACTCCACTTACACGAGTAGGGAACTCACAAATAAAACATTTCACTTCAGGTTCACATTAAGATCAGTGGTGGTCAGTCTCACTCAGTCACATTATAATCTAATTTTACAGCTGCAGCAGTAGATTGAAAAAGCGTTTCCTACCTGTGTGCTGCTCGAATGTATATTCCATTTAGCTCAGGGCAGGCTGCATGGGCAGCGTCTTTTAGTTGGTTCAGTGACAATCCAATCAAAAAGTTAGTTTTGGTAAACACACGCGAGACCCACATGATCCAGGAAGCTAGAAAACAGCATGGCTTGATGATGGCAGACTCCGAACTAGAGGCAGATTCACCCGCGGGCCCGGGTGACCCGGTGTCCCCTACTTCACCACCTCTTTATCCTCTCCGGCCAAGCGACTCCGTTCATTTGTTTGGGAGTTCTTTACCTACCCAAAACAACCGGATGGATCCATAAAGGACGACAGAGAGCCGACTTGCAAACTGTGCAACAGGAAAGTAGTTGCAAGATCGGCGAATACATCTAACATGACGTCCCATCTCCGCGAGTGGCATAAAAAAGAATACGCACAGCTTAAGTCCAAGCAGGTGAGATGCATCATTATAAATCCCACTGTAGGTGGGCCGGTCTACGATGTTTCATTCAAAGAGCACTGTTATTGTTGTTGTACGTCACTTTCATTCTCCGTGGAACGGCATGGTCTTGTTGTCTACAGATCTACAAGGCATCACTACGTCGCTTTGCAACGCTTTGCTCACTTGTAGATTAGTTGTTTGTTTGGCGCATGGCAGTGACGTCATGCGAAAGCGCAACCCGAATTTGACAGAGAGAGATTATGGTGGTTAACAGACACACACACACACATTTTGCTTAAATAAAGCAATGTTTTTCTTCTAAGAATGATACTTGTCTGTTTTGTTGGTTATTTCACAGCCCCTAGTACCAAAAAAAATCTTAAAAAATAAAATACCGTCACCGTGAAATACCTTGGTATACTGTACTAACACCATTACATCCCTACATCTGAAACATCAGGTTCGGTGCCAAAGCAGGGGAATGGCCATAAGATATTGATTTTTATTTAATTTCTATCATTTATCATCTAACATTACTAAGTTGAACCCAGTGTCCATGTGGCACTCACACTGATTTTCAGTGTGTATTGAATGTTATACTCACGTGACATGGAGCAGTAGTTTGATGAATGTTTTGGTTTTTGTCTTCAAATTCAATAGAACTGTGTGAGGACGATTGTCGAGGAGCCAAACCCCAACTAGGGCCTGACAGCGTGCCGCGGATTCTGAGGATGGTTCCAATACCAACCCAAATCAGCAGCCCTACACCCAAACCCTCACCCGGCTCCTCAACTGGCTCCTCATCCAGCTCCTCATCTAGCTCCTCATCTGGATCCTCATCCAGCTCCTGGATGTTTGTTTGATTTGCTTTCATATTGTGAAGCACTTTGGTCAACCCTTGGTTGTTGAAAGGTGCTATATAAATAAATGTTGATTGATTGATTGAAATCTAATCTAAAGTCATTCTGTGAGTCTAAGTGAACATTTGTGCCATATTAAAAAAACATTTTTCATCAAGGAGTTTCTTCCATTCCTTCTTTTCACTTTCATAATTTCCAAAAGTGTACAAGAGCCAGCCTCAATAGATAAACAGGTTACAAGCTTYCAAGGACACTGAGTCAATCATATCCCCCATCCCCTCCATACAKCCCAAACACCCAGGTAGACAACACAACCTAAAAAAATAATAATGATACAATAATAATAATAATAATGAGCGACAAATATAAATAACTGCAAATTGCAAAACTGTATCTATAATTTATGTAGAATGCTCATAATGGCATTATGTCCATTATTTATCAACTCTAGAAATGTTTTCTAAGATAGTAATTGTGATCAAAGGTCTTGAAAGATATATCCACGGTTGTATTTCACCAGATTAAATCTCTCTAATGGCAAAAATTCTGATATTTGATCCAAAAACAGCTTATAAATTGGAGGAGATTCATTTTTCCAAAGTAAAAGTATGCATTTATTTGAAGATTATGCTATCATAATCAAATATCTGCATTTTTTACATGCATTTTTTTATTATCTCATCTAAATGGACCAGGCATTTTATTTGAAAAAATATATAAACAAGGGTTGAAGTCAAATTCTATCTCCAAAACGGATTTGGTGAAAGAATGAATGTCTGTTTTGGTAGACTTTCAAAACAAATCAGCTCTGTTACYTTGTTTACGTAATTGTGTAATACAGAAGCAGTCTATTCCACCAACAATGGGGATAGCCATCATAGCATTGCTGTCCAAACCTGGGAAAGATCATTTGGATGCCTTTGAGTTTGCTTAATCATGATTATAAACATTTTGCAAAATTATTAGCAAAACTTCCATTCAATAATATGAGGAGGCTCCTGCAAATTGTTACATGTGCCCAGCTCTTTCCAGCATCCAGTGGTAGCAGTATCACTGGATTTATCTTTATTATTTCGGAACCACAGAGATCTATATAATGCATTTAAAATGGACTCGGTGGGACTGTGGCTGACTTGATCCACTGGTGTGATCTGCCGAAGCCTGTAGTGGTGGAGTCAGACACATCAGTGAGCCAAGAATATTGGTAGATCTTGCAGAATTGGCTTTTTTCTGTTGCAAAGAATACAATGAATAACAAAGGTGAACTTTCTCTCAGCTGAAAATGAAAACTAGAATGTAAATACACTGATCACCTAACTGTCAGAAGGAAATTACATTCATTGCATCTGCCTAAGAGAAAGATAAACAGAGATAAAAAGGTTCTTCTTTATTATTCACCACATTAGAAAAACAAAAAGACAAATCATAACTCAAATACAAACAGATATATACTGCCAGTGTTAGCATAGCTCCAATATATATTTATTATATATTTTTTTATATTTAATTACAAGGTAAGATGTAGACATTGTTCTTATATAGTACATTTTTTGGAGCAGATATGATTAAAAACATAATGGTTTGAATGCAGCCGACTGACGTGGTGGTAGATGTGTCTCTGTGATTTGAGCTCGTAGTGTGTGGTAGAGGCCTGGTGCTGGAGCTGCACACACACGTGTGTTATGTGTGTTTCTATGTGAGGTGTGTGTGTTCAGAACATCAGTGTTAGTGTAATTTTGTTGGTGAGCTGAGGTGTGAGAGGCCCGAGAGACCGAGGCCTCAGCTGCAGCTTTTCAGCACCACCCCTGCTGGACAGCGACAGCAGCTCCAC